GAACGACTACTCAATGCCGTGCTCAGCACAGTAGGCTGCCAAGAGGTCGGAGGAGAACTCACCACCTCTGTCAGAGTGCAAGCGCAGGACAGGAAAGTCCGAGCGGAATCGCTCGCTGAGCTGGAGACGAGCTCTGCGGATCCAAGGGATCAAAACATCAGGGACCTCACCCTTGGTGCGCAAGGGGAAGACCGTGGTGTAGCGCGAGTAGTCGTCAACAACGATCAGGAAGTACCTCTCCTGACCCTGACCACGGACGCGGGCTGGGCCCCACACGTCCATGTGGAGCGTCTGCAAAGGAGCAGTCGTCGGGGGAAACGAGGAGGAAAGAGGAGCGGCGCGCTGCCGCCCCTCGACACAGGGAAGACAGGGAGGAGCAGGCGAGGGTGGGAGGGGAGGGAGGACCCTGGGAAGACCAGAGACAAGGTACCGGGAGTGCATGGCACGAAGGCGCTGCACAGATGGGTGGCCCAGTCGGTGGTGCCAGAGGACAGTCTCGTGCGCTAGAGAGCGACACGAGCAGGGGGCGGACAGCTGACCTGACGCGGACGCAGACGCAGACGCAGCGACCTGAGGGGGGGCAGTAGTCAGTGTGTACAGGTCCGACCCCGGCTGCCGGGTGAAGGTAGCCAAGTGGCGGCCTGTACGGGCACACGTGCAGTGTGTGACACGCTCGTAGGCAGGGGTGAACTGGTGAACACCCGCGTCCTGTAGTGCACAACCTGCCACCAAGTTCGTAGAGAACGAGAGGAGGTGGAGACCTGACAGTGTGCCCGACGGGACCGCAGGACAGGGAAGGACAGTGGAGGAGGTCGCAAGGACCGGACCTCCAGAGGGGTCAGCGAGGGAGACAGCAACTGGCCGAGCAAGGGGCTCAAGGGCAGTGCGGTCACGAAAGAAACAGCGAGAGGCACCTAAATCCAGTGTGAAGGTGTGTAGTGCTGCAGTCAACACAGTACTAGGGGGGGCAGACGTACACGCACCTAGAGCAGCAGCCTCACCAGCACCTGGGGTAGCGGACACGCGAGTACCTGGAGCGGCAGACGCACTAGTCCTAATGCCCGGGTCGGGCGGGACACTCAGGTACTCAGCACCCTCTCCACTAGTAGACATCACATACATGGCAGTGAGAATAGCATCAAAGTCTAGAGCATAAATGTCAATCCCCTTCTTTAGGAGATCAACCCAGCGGGGCAGCTCAGTGGCCTGAGGGAACTGAACACGCCAAGCGTCGTTCAGACGAGCGAAGCAACGCTGTGTGGCGTGCGGTCCCCCACACGGCTGGCCAGTGCGGTCACCAGTGCGAGTGACGTACGTGCAGCTAAGGCCACCCCCCCCCCCCCCCCCGTGCTGAGAGTACCACTCACGGACCTCCTGGGGCGACGGAGTGTGCTGCTGGCCCTGGCCACCGCCAGTGCCTCCACGACCACCACCGCCGCTACCACCTCCTCGACCACCCCAACCCCGGCCGCTGCCTCGTCCACTGCCACCCCCACCACCTTCTCCGCCCCGGCCACCTCCCCCGCCGCTGCCGCCACCCCCCCCACTGCTGCCACCTCCCCCACCCGCGCCACCCCCCCCGCCACCACCACCTCCCCCACCACCGCCACCCCCGCTGTCACCACCACCGCCCTTCCCCCCCTTGCCCTTGCCGCTGCGGCGCCCACTCGAAGCAGACGCAGTCCCGACCTTCTCAGCACCAAGGAGGTCGACAGCAGCAGAAGAGGCGACAGAGGGAAGAAGGGGGGAGGGAGAACACCCCTCAAAGAACGGGGTACGGGGGTCACCGCGAGAGGCACCTACAGCGACTATGCTAGCCTCAGCTGCAAGCAGTTCCTTCTCGAGGAGGGCAATGGTGAGCTCGGTGGGGCAGCGAGCTAGGAAGTGGTCCCTGACTGAGCGCAGAGTGTCAGGGAGGCGCGTGACTAGGTGGTAGAGAGTGAGCCAGAGCGGGGGTGGGTTCTTGGCAAGGAACTCATCAGGCATAGCGGCGCGGAAGCGAGCCTCACTAGTGCGGAGGTTGGTAATGAGATCAGCGACAGGTAGGGAAGAGAGAGACGGCCTAGAGCGGCAGAGGCCGGCGAGGAGTAGCGGGCAACGTCAGCAGTGTACAGTGCCTGTGCAGTCTTGTGCTGCCCAAAGTGCTCGCGCTCATCTATCAGCAGAGAGTTGCGAATAGCGAAGCGAGTATGGGCGTCACGAGTCTGCCACTGTGAGTGGGCAGTGCTGTCAGCAGTAGCAGCAGGAGCAGTAGCGTGGCCTAAGGCATGATCGTACAGCGAGATGTCTTCCTTGGCAGTGAGCTGTAGGAAGAGGTGTAGGTCATCAAGCCAGGTGTCGAACTTCACTGGGCGGCCCTCAATATCGAAGGCTAGGACAGGAGGGCTAGCCATGGTAGCAGTTGTAGGAAAAGCAGTAGGATAGGTAGGGCAGCGCGGCTCGGTACAGGTAGGGCGGCGCGGCCCGGTATAGGTAGGGCGGCGCGGCTCGGGTCGGGCGGCGCGGCTCGGTTCGGGCGGCTCGGGTCGGGCGGCTCGGGTCGGGCGGCTCGGTTAGGGCGGCTCGGTTCGGGCGGCTCGGGTCGGGCGGCTCGGGGCTGGCGGCTCGGGTCGGGCGGCTCGGTTCCGTTAGGGCTGGGCGGCTCGGGTCGGCTCGGTTCGGGCTGCTCGGTCTGGGTGGGGCCGTTCGGGGCCGCTAAGGGCGAGCGCGGGGCCTATCGGAGCCGTGAGGGACGAGCGGGGGGCCAATCGGGGCCGTAAGGGACGAGCGCGGGGCCGACGTGGGCCTCTAAGGGCGAGCGCGGGGCCTATCGGGGCCGTGAGGGACGAGCGCAGGGCCGATCGGGGCCGGTAAGGACGAGCGCGGGGCCGACGCGGGCCTCTAGGGGTAAGCGCGGGGCCGATTCGGGGCCTCTAAAAGCGAGCGCGGGGCCGACCGAGGCCTCTAGGTGCGAGAGCGCGGGGCCGACGGGGCCTCTAGGGGCGTGAAAGCCGAGGCGCCCTAGGGCGCAGGTAGGTAGGTAGGTAGTGGTGGGCCCTAAAAAAAAATCGGTCCTAGGAAGGACCTGCTCTATACCATGTTGAACAAGAATGAATGAACTAAGAGTGAAAAGAGTACAAGTATCAAAACCTAGGAATGTGTACCCCCTATAGGCTAACCCACTATAGCCTAAACAACTACAACAACATATATAATGTTTGACAGTTGATCTACTCTAGAGCTGGGCCTCGTAACAGTGTTGCTGCGAGCCGTATGCGCATTGCGCCTTTTGTCGGGGTCGTGCATCTAACGGCTTCGAAGTAAATTTCGAGTTCAGCTACAAATCGACGAACGTCGTTCCTTTTTACTGTAGGATCGAACGCCTCCGGTAGCCTCAGCTTCACTGCTTCGAGGTTAACTGTAGCTGCTGCCGTTGTCGCATGTAGAATTGTCGGTGTTGCTGCTGCTGTTGCTCCTACTGTTGTCGCTGCTGCTGTGGCGGTTGCCGACTGGTTCGCAAGGAGTTTTTCGAGTCGTGGGAGCGCTGCACGTATTTGCTTATGCTCAGCACGTAACTCCGCGATTTTCTGTACTGAAATATCTCCTTTTCTCTCCATTTGGCGATTTACAGGAAGATGCGCGACGAAAATAATCGAATTCTAGGGGCTGGTCGACTTACTGCGAGTCAAATTGACTATAGAGTCGACGAGCGCGAATTCTGTAGGTTGCGTAAATCTCCCTTAGGCGAAATTTGCGTCCGATCTTGGCCGTTGAGGAGAAAATCGATCCGACGCTCCAAATTCCAACGTTTTTGGGCGAAATTCTTTGGGCCGTTGAGATGAAACTCGATCGAATGGTCGAAACTCCAACCTTCCACCAGTAAATCTGAGGGGTGTTCGAAAACCGAATCGAGGGGGACTTAGAAAAATTGCGCGGAACTGGTTTTACATACCCGTATCGGCGCTTTCGTCGTCGCCCCCACGGTTTTTAAAGGCCGGAACTAAGCGGTTGAAGACCTCGCGTGTAAACCCGCTCTGATTACCAAGTGTGAGGATCTGGGATCGAGCTCAGAAAAGATGATTCAAATTGAATTGAATGATCACCTGGGTACAACACGAGGCTATATATAGGCTCGACACAAGGCCCCGTAACCAGGTGTTACGCGAAGGTTCCGCGGGTCGCGAAGCGTCCCGAACAGATCCTTACCGAATTCGGTAGAAGGCAATTCGGTGGCAACCGAAAAGCCAGAATTCGGTGCACGCAACCTAGCTCGGTGCTATAACTATAATAAAATATAGGAAAGCACCTAGCCTAGGAAATCAAGCAATTCATGCATGCATATGATTATCCTATGCTAGAAATAGCATGATAAAGTAGAGGCAAGCAAGCATAGCTGGCATAAGCCGTCGTAATCTCACATCGGAGGGCTGAAGCCGGACATCTCGCACGAAATCATGCTACACGGGCTGTCGAACTTCAACGAGATTTTCGCGCTCGCCGAGAAAATCGACATTTTGCGCCGTCCGAGACCGGGGTCCTACTATGGACATCGTCCTCGGGGACCGATCGAGCACGCCACTGTACACGCTATTGCGACGAATGCAGCTGCCGCGTTCTTTAAGGGGCGCTGCTTTGCTTGCAACAGGCCAGGCCATCGCAAGAGCGAATGCCCAGAAGAGCTAAGGCGCCGCGGAGCAGAGCAGGGGAGGGAGTCTCCAAGGCAGGGAAACGCCAGCAGTCAGTTGGAATCGGTCCAACTACTGACGAGACTGCCTGCTCGCCCAACCCCACCGACCCTCTCTGATGTCAGAATGTTATTTGTCTAGCCTGCAGTGGGGTGCTCAATACTGAGTACAACCCGTTAGGGTTTTCTATTTGTGTGTCCTGCTGCTTGCTAGTCCAGTCATTCTTCCTTCCAATTCTCCTTCGTAAACCCTAACTCTTAGTTCTAGAGCAAGCCCACCTACCTCCTAGTGTGGGCGTAGGCTACTAAGCCTAGGCCCCACACCTACTATTCTTACATGGTATCTAGAGCCGGCAAGATCGTGCCGCCTAGTTCATTGAGCCCACCACCTACTTCCGCTGCCGTATTATCCGCCGCGCGCCCCGTGGTGCATTTTTATCCCGCCACGCGCTTTGAACGCGTGGCGGCTTTTTCTGCCCGCCGCGCGCTCGGGGCGCGCGGCGGTTTTCCCGTCCGTCGGAGCGCCCTCGGGGGGGCCTGCGCGCTGCCCTCCTCGCTGCTCGTCACGGCGCCCCCTACGGGACCAGCGCGGCGTCGCCCTGCTCGTCGCGACGTCCGTGCGGGACCCGCGCGGCGTCGCCCCTGCTCCTCGCGACGCCCCCTGCGGGACCCGCAGGGCGTCGCCCCTGCTCGTCGCGACACCCCCTGCGGGACCCGCGCGGCGTTGCCCTGCTCGTCGCGACGTCCGTGCGGGACCCGCGGGGCGTCGCCCCTGCTCGTCGCGACGCCCCCTGTGGGACCCGCGGGGCGTCGCCCCTGCTCGTCGCGACGCCCCCTGCGGGACCCGCGGGGCGCCGTCAGATCCTGCAGCAGCAGCCGCCGCCGCCCTGCAGCAGCAGCCGCCGCCAGGCCTGCAGCAGCAGATGCCGCCGCCCTGCAGCAGCAGCCGCCGCCAGGCCTGCAGCAGCAGACGCCGCCGCCCTGCAGCAGCAGCCGCCGCCAGAGCCTGCAGCAGCAGCCGCCGCCAGAGCCTGCAGCAGCAGCCGCCGCCAGAGTCTGCAGCAGCAGCCGCCGCCAGAGCCTGCAGCAGCAGCCGCCGCCGAGCCTGCAGCAGCAGCCGCCGCCAAGCCTGCAGCAGCTGCCGCCACCGACCCAGCAGCAGCAGCCGCCGCTCTAGCAGCAGCCGCCGCCGCTCTGCCGCAGCAGCCACCTCCGCCTAGCAGCAGCAGCCGCCGTCAGAGCCTGCAGCAGCAGCCGCCGCCAGCGCCTGCAGCAGCTGCCGCCCCTGGACCCGGTACGCTCTGTGCTGCCCTGCCTGTGCTGCCCGTGCCTGTGCTGCCCTGTGCTGCCTGTGCCTGTTGCTGCCTGTGCCTGTACTGCCCGTGCCTGTGCTGCCCGAGCCTGTGCTGCCCGTGCCTGTGCTGCCTGTGCCTGTTGCTGCCCGTGCCTGTGCTGCCCTGTGCTGCCTGTGCCTGTTGCTGCCTGTGCCTGTGCTGCCCGTGCCTGTGCTGCCCGTGCCTGTGCTGCCCGTGCCTGTGCTGCCTGTGCCTGTTGCTGCCCGTGCCTGTGCTGCCCTGTGCTGCCTATGCCTGTTGCTGCCTGTGCCTGTGCTGCCCGTGCCTGTGCTGCCTGTGCCTGTTGCTGCCTGTGCCTGTGCTGCCCGTGCCTGTGCTGCCCGTGCCTGTGCTGCCCGTGCTTGTGCTGCCTGTGCCTGTTGCTGCCCGTGCCATTGCTGCCCTGTGCTGCCTGTGCCTGTTGCTGCCCGTGCCTGTGCTGCCCGTGCCTGTGCTGCCCGTGCCTGTGCTGCCCGTGCCTGTGCTGCCTGTGCCTGTTGCTGCCCGTGCCTATGCTGCCCTGTGCTGCCTGTGCCTGTGCTGCCCGTGCCTGTGCTGCCCGTGCCTGTGCTGCCCGTGCCTTTGCTGCCTGTGCCTGTTGCTGCCCGTGCCCGTGCTGCCCTGTGCTGCCTGTGCCTGTTGCTGCCTGTGCCTGTGCTGCCCGTGCCTGTGCTGCCCGTGCCTTTGCTGTGCGTGCCTGTGCTGCCTGTGCCTGTTGCTGCCCGTGCCTGTGCTGCCCTGTGCTGCCTGTGCCTGTTGCTGCATGTGCCTGTGCTCCCCGTGCCTGTGCTGCCCGTGCCTGTGCTGCCCGTGCCTGTGCTGCCTGTGCCTGTTGCTGCCCGTGCCTGTGCTGCCCTGTGCTGCCCGTGCCTGTGCTGCCCTGTGCTGCATGTGCCTGGTGCTGCTCGTGCCTCGTGCTCGCGCCCTCGTGCGCTCTGCTACTGTCTGCGCCCTCGTGCGCACTGTTTCTGCTCTCCCCCCCCCCCCCCCCCGTTTGCGGGTATGGGGGTGGCTGGTGTGCATTCCTCCCTTTGCTCCTCCTCCTCCTTCGTCTCCCACTGCTGCAGCTGTCGCTGAGGGGGGTGGTTGTGTGGGAGACTGGGGTTTAGGGTTTAAGGGGGGTGCGTGGGAGTGGAGCTAGCGGTGTAGCAGCGGGTGTGTGTCAGGGGGTTGGGACTGTTTGGGGAAGCTGCATGGAAGTTGCCGTACTGTAGTCCGCAGCACCTGTAGTCCGGGGCGCTGTCTCGGTAGCCCAGTGAGCTAGACTTCTACGCCAGCCGCCCGTGGGTCCGTTGCTCGTCTGCCGCTACTTTAGCCGCGAGGCCTGTTACTCCTGTAGTCCGGGCGCTTAGTCCGGTAGCCGCTGTGCCAGTCTGCCTCCTGTTGCCCGTGTGTCTGCAGCTTCAGCCGTCTCCTCATATCTCCTCTCCCCTCACTCTCTCTCCTCCTCCTCACTTGCCCGTTGTGACTACCACTAGCTTTGCTCATAATTCTTAACTTTAAACTATTGTTTCTTTAACTTGTGCTCAGAATGTGTGGTGACATTGTGATCCACCCTGAGCTTGTACTGCTTTGCTTGCTCTGCTGATTACACCCCACTTTGGCTATGGGGGTGTGTCAGAATGTTATTTGTCTAGCCTGCAGTGGGGTGCTCAATACTGAGTACAACCCCTTAGGGTTTTCTATTTGTGTGTCCTGCTGCTTGCTAGTCCAGTCATTCTTCCTTCCAATTCTCCTTCGTAAACCCTAACTCCTAGTTCTAGAGCAAGCCCACCTACCTCCTAGTGTGGGCCTAGACTACTAAGCCTAGGCCCCACACCTACTATTCTTACATCTGAGTCACAGTACCGATTCATGCTATCGATCGGGCTCGGACGAATAAGGAGGGTACAGCGACGGATTGCCCAGTACTGATCCACGGGAAAATACAGGGAGCAGCAGTGAAGATTTTTATTGACGGAGGAGCAAGCCACAGTTTAGTTAATACCGCAACCGTACGAAAACCACAGCTGACACTTAGTCGTTGCTTACCGGAGATAGACGCACGCTTAGTCGACGGCACGCCACTAGCCATACGGGAAAATGTAGAGAGAGTCTAAGTCCGCTGCGGGGGGAATTTCGGGTTTACACAGGAAATGCTCGCAATGACACTGGATGGGCACGATATTTTACTGGGACGTGATTGGCTGCGACAGTATAACCCGCGAATTGACTGGACGACGGGTAGCTGCACCGTGCGAAGTAGTGGTAGCTGGGTCGAGCTACCTCGCTGGCAGTCGCCCAAGTCTTCAACGGTACACGTCAACACAATCACAATGAAACGGGCTGTCGATGCTGGAGCTGACGTGTACGCAGTAGACCTCGCAACAGTAGAGGAAGCGGAGCAGCCGAGTGATTTCAAGAAACTGTTGGCAGCCGTACCGCCTGAATTACAGGAACTGTTGAAACGATACCCCGGGATTTTCCCCGACGACTTACCGGAAGGACTGCCACCTCAGCGAGCACATGACCACCAAATCGAATCAGAACCGGGGGCACAGCCAACCGTACAGCGCCAATTCAGATTGACACAGCCCGAGCTCGACGAGCCAAGGAAGCAGCTAGATTACCTGTTAGAGAAAAAATTCATCAGACCGAGCTCGTCACCGTTCGCCGCACCGATACTATTCACGCCAAAAAAAGACGAGGGTTTTTGCATGTGTATCGACTACAGAGCACTAAACAGGGTAATGTCGAGATTCTAGCGAGGCTTAGGAGCCATGGCTAGTGAGTTCGAGGGTGAGGAAAGTGTCGAGAGAGTTGAGAAGGAGAATGGTTCAATAATAGCAAAGAGATACAACATATAGTCAAGAAACTAGAGGTGCACCACCAAACAGAAGACAAGATAAATACACTACACCTAAACCACAAGCAGTTACATAAAATAACTTTGACAGGTAACAGTCAAGTCACGGTACCCCATTCCCCGCGCCGACGAACTGATCGACCAACTGCGAACAACACGGGTTTTTTCGAAAATAGATTTACGGGGAGGTTACCATCAGATTAGGGTCGAACCATCGGACTGCGCCAAAACAACTTTCAATACTAGGTACGGGTCGTTCGAGTACACTGTGATGCCATTCGGGCTGACCAACGCACCGTCGACTTTTCAGATGACCATGAACGAGGCATTTAGGCCGCTCTTAGATAAATGTGTAATAGTTTACCTCGACGACATCCTAGTTTACAGTCGGGATAAGCAGCAACATTTCGTAGATCTGGAAGCAGTGTTTAAGGTTTTAGACGAGCACAGATTACTGACCAAGGGTTCCAAGTGCGAGTTCTTCCACGATAGGTTAGAATTTCTGGGGCACGTTATTTCGGAGGCTGGAGTTGAAATCGACCCAAAGAAGCTGGACACGGTAAAAGCGTGGCATCCCCCGACGAACATCACGGAGCTGCAGAGCTTTTTAGGGTTCGTTAATTATGTGCGTCGGTTCGTCCCCGATATGGCACGGTTAATTGCCCCACTGACGGATTTACTGCGGAAGAGGGTCGCTTTTACGTGGGGGGAGAAAGAGCATGCTGCCTTCTCTGCCCTGAAAAATGTTCTCTGTTCACCGCCCGTCCTGCGCATCGCCGACCCACACCGCCCATTCGAAGTAGTTACCGACGCAAGTGACATCGTCATCGGAGCCGTACTACTACAAGACTTTGACAACGGCCTACAACCCATCGCATACGAGTCACAAAAACTGCATCCGCCCGAGAAAAATTACCCGATACACGACCGCGAAATACTTGCGATCGTGCACGCGTTCAAAGTATGGCGCTGTTACTTGACCGGCACAGACGTGATAGTACGGACATACCATAAGTCACTACAGTACCTTCGCGCACAGCCACACCTCAACCCACGACAGATTCGCTGGCTCGACTTCCTCGAGTCCAATTTTGACTACACGGTCACTTACATAAAGGGAGCCTCGAACATCACCGACGCACTGACCCGCCCCACTGCCCAGATCCACGCAATACTACTCGCCCAGACAAGCCCGCTACTGACAGGCTGTCAAAATATGTTTACATATTTTATATAATCGTTTGCAGTTGTAGTGTAGATATTGCATCATGTTTGGTGGTGCACCTCCTTATGTTGTTGTTTACCTATTTGTACTTGCCATTCTCAATAGTGAAACCCATTCTCTCGACTCATCTCTCCTTTCAACTTTCTCGAACTAAACTCGAACTCTCCCCTAAACTATGGCTCCTAAGCCCACCTATGCTTAGCTTTTTTCACACAGGCCTATTCACCCACGGGTACCAAACGGATCCATTCTTTACAGGAGGAGATTCGCAGCAGTTCGCAGCAGCAAGGGGAGTCTATTACGTAAAAACCGGGACTGGCCGCATTTGGGTGCCTGGGTATACACTGCTACGGGAATTACTGTTACAGGAGGGACACGACGGAGTTACCTTGGGGAATTTCGGAGTAGAAAAAACACGGCAGCAGCTACAGCGGTATTATTACTGGTCCGTAATGTTGAGCGACGTACAATGACACCTGGCATCGTGTCCCACTTGTCAACTCATGAAATCATCACGACAGCGGCCGGCGGGACATTTGCATCCGATACCACCCCCAGAGCGTGCTTGGCAGCAGGTGACGATGGAATTCGTCACGGGGTTACTGGCCGGGGCGAGTGGGAACGACGCGATCCTGGTCGTCGTCGATCGACTGACGAAAATGGCACATTTCGCAGCCTGCAAAAAATCAATCACAGCTGAAGAAACAACACGCCTCTTCATCTCCACCGTCATTCGACTGCACGGGATACCAGCCGCGATCAATAGCGATCGCGACACGAAATTCACCAGCAACTTCTGGCGGAACCTGTCAAATCATAATATTGTGTAGGCTATAGTGGGGTATGTCAAACATAATATATGTTGTTGTAGTTGTTTAGGCTACAGTGGGTTAGCCTATAGGGGGTACACATTCCTAGTTTTTCATACTTGTACTCATTTCACTGTTAGTTCATTCATCCTTGTTCAACATGGTATAGAGCAGGTCCTTCCTAGGACCGATTTTTTTTAGGGCCCACCACTACCTACCTACCTACCTGCGCCCTAGGGCGCCTCGGCTTTCACGCCCCTAGAGGCCCCGTCGGCCCCACGCTCTCGCACCTAGAGGCCTCAATCGGCCCCGCGCTCGCTTTTAGAGGCCCCGAATCGGCCCCGCGCTTACCCCTAGAGGCCCGCGTTGGCCCCGCGCTCGTCCTTAACGGCCCCAAATCGGCCCCGCGCTTACCCCTAGAGGCCTGCGTTGGCCCCGCGCTCGTCCCTTCCGGCCCCGATCGGCCCCGATCGGCCCCGCGCTCGTCCCTCACGGCCCCGATAGGCCCCGCGCTCGCCCTTAGAGGCCCACGTCGGCCCTGCGCTCGTCCCTTACGGCCCCGATCGGCCCCACGCTCGTCCCTCACGGCCTCGATAGGCCCCGCGCTCGCCCTTAGCACCCACGTCGGCCCCGCGCTCGTCCCTCACGGCCCCACCCGCTCCCCGCGCTCTCCCTTAGCGGCCCCGAGCCGACCAGAGCCGCCCAGCCCTAACAGAACCGAGCCGCCCGACCCGAGCCGCCAGCCCTAACCGACCCGAGCCGCCCGAACCGAGCCGCCCGAACCGAGCCGTGCCGCCCGACCCGAGCCGCCCGAACCGAGCCGCGCCGCCCGACCCGAGCCGCGCCGCCCTACCTATCCCGAGCCGCGCCGCCCTACCTGTACCGAGCCGCGCCGCCCTACCTACCCTACTGCTCCTACTGTTTTTCCTTCTGCTGCTACCATGGCTAGCCCTCCTGTGCTAGCCTTCGATGCTGAGGGCCGCCCAGTGAAGTTCGACACCTGGCTTGATGACCTACACCTCTTCCTACAGCTCACTGCCAAGGAAGACATCTCGCTGTACGATCATGCCTTAGGCCACGCTACTGCTCCTGCTGCTACTGCTGACAGCACTGCCCGCTCACAGTGGCAGACTCGTGACGCCCATACTCGCTTCGCTATTCGCAACTCGTGAGCGCGAGCACTTTGGGCAGCACAAGA